GCCTGCTCGGGCCAAGCAGCTCGAGCGCAACTGGATTGTGCGGGCTGAGGTCCAGCTCGTGGATAACGCTGGCCTTTGCCCCGCGGAAGAGCCTCGGGACCACGAAGTAATCGATGGTCCTGCCCGCAGGTCTGCACGTGGCCCCCGTGGGCGCGGCAACGACCGCTTGCGCCGCCTCTAGCCGGCCAGATTTTTCCAAGACTGACGGCTCCATGTTGAAGTCCCCGCACACGATGAAGGGCCTGTTGGCCGCCTGCAGGGCCTTGAGCACCGCGTAGAAGGTGTCGGCATTGCTCTGGTTGAGCCCGACGTTGGCCTCCAGATACACGTTGACCCACGCGATGCCGCCTCTGCAGACGCCATTGAGGTGGGAGATGATGGCGCGACCAGGCTCCAGCACCGCTTGCCGAGCAGGTCGAACGGCCCGAGCCCGAGGTGCTGGGGCGCCATCTGCACAAGGCCTCCAATGCCCTTGGAGCTAAAACCAGCGTTGATCGCTGGCGCGGCCTCCGAGGCCCATCCAAGCCGTCGAAGCTGTCCTTGAACGTCTTGAATGCGCTGCGGATCCAAATGCGTCTCTTGAACGGCAACGAAGTACCAGCACCTGACAGTGGCTGTGCCAAGCAGGTTGGAGAACCTCGACCACGCATTGCAGTTTACCGTGGGGCCAACCCACCAACGCCCTTGCTTGTCCGCCGTCCTGGGCATGAGAGAGGAACGATCGCCACCAATGGCCCCGCTGCGGCCGCTACCCCGAGGTCTTGGAGCGCTTGGCGGCCCTGAGCGTGTCCAGTGCCTCCTGGAGCCTCTTCCTCTCGTTCTCGTCAGCAGCGCTGCCGAGAAGCCCTCCAGGATCCTCGCCCTCCATGAACTTGTCGAACTCGTCGCTGCCTGGGTCTCCTGCCATGGGAGCATCAGCCTCATCTGCGCCACCACCTGCGCCTGCACCAGGAGCGCCTGGGCCCCCTCCTGCGGCTGGCACAGCGCGGGCAGGCTCTGGCTCGGGATGTGGTGGGGCTGCGGCAGCAGCCATCTCGCCCAGAATCGTGGCGAGGCTAGCGCCCTTCTTGCCCTCTGTGTCGATGGAGGCGACCTTGTCTTTGACGGAACGGAGCGTGTCCTCGGCCGTGGTGGACGAGTAGAGCTTCGCCGCCTGCTTCTTGGCCTGCTCGAGCTCCGCTTTGCGCTCGGCGAAGGCCGGATCCGCTTCTGCCAGCGCCTCCAGGGCCTTGCGAGAGCTCCCTACGGGGCCACGAAACGCTGTCCTGGGTGGCGATGACGCATGCGGCACTGGAGCCTTCGGTGGAGCTCCCTATGGGGCCACGAAGCGCTGTCTTAGGTGGCGTTGACGCATGCGGACCCTGCCACTGGAGCCTTCGGCGGAGCTCCCTCCCTAAGGGGCCACGAACCGTGTGAGGTGTGTGCCGAAATGGGTGGGATGATGCTGATGGTGACGATGATGATGATGATGATGCTGCTGATGATGATGACGATGATGCCGTCCATGGGAGGACGGGGAGGAGGAGGAGAGGAGAGGAGGAAGATACGCCGGGCTCTGTCTCTTCAAAACGAAAACCCAACACCACAAGATGGTAGGGAAACAACCCAAGCGAAAACCCAACTCCCGGGAATCCTATGAGTAAAGGGCAATACGCGGAGGGGGGCCGGATATCTTCGGGACGTCATCAGGGGAGAAAGGAGAGCAGTATTCATATTGTGTAATTGTAAAGAAGGGGGGAGGACCTCGGTTGGCACTCGTCCTCCAGTCCAGGCTCGCGGTCTTCGCAAGGCTGCCCAGATCCGCCAGTCCCAGCGGGGTCGGAGGCCAGGTGAACGTGCACGCTCGCCTTCACAGGCGCGAGTGGAGAGGGCGGGGGAGGAGGATGGGAATGAACACTAGGATGATGATGATGATGATGATGATGATGATGATGATGATGATGATGATGATGATGATGATGATGATGATGATGATGATAATGATGATGAGGAGGAGGAGGAGGAGGAGGAGAGGAGGGGGGGGGGGGAGGCGGAGGAGGTCAGATAAGGTACGCTTGGGGGTCGTCAGTCCTATCGTGGAGAAAACACTTGACCCCTGCGTAATGCAAAATGGATGCAGGACTCTCAGTTCTCATTGAGGGCCTGCGTACTCGGAGCGGCGGGGCCCGCAGCCTGGTCGATGATCAAAATAGCATGTCGCGTGAAAGGGAGAAGGGGAGCCAGCGCCAAACGCCTGAGCGCACACCACGTCCAAGCGTACACCACGTGAAACATAAACAGCACACCTAAGCGTACACCCTGCCCAAGGGGCCAGCTCCTCTGCACCTTCTGGGGGCACCTTGTGCCCTGGCCCGCCTGGTGAGACGAGCTCTGATCCCAAACGACGGCGGCGGGGGCGGGGGGGGGGGGAACGCGCGGGGAAAGCTGGGTGGGGGGGAGGACGGGGGGGGGGGGGAAGGGGGGAGGGGTGGGGGGTGGCGGAGGAGGAGGATGCGGAGGATGATAATGATGATGAGGAGGCGGAGGCGGAGGAGGAGAATGACGAGGAGGAGGAGGAGGCGGATGAGGAGGATGGGAGGATGAGGATGGGAGGAGGAGGATGGGAGGATGATGATGATGATGAGGCGGAGGAGGAAGAGGATGAGGAGGAGGAGGTGAATGAGACATATGTTGATGATGCTGTTAATGCTGATGATGCTGCTGATGATGCTGCTGCTGATGATGATGCTGCTGGTGATGAGGAGGATCATGAGGAGAGGGAGGATGAGGAAGAGGAGGAGGAGGAGGTGCAGGAGCAGGATGAGGATGATGCTGCTGATGATGATGGTGATGATGATGAGGTGGAGGAGGATGAGGAGGAGGCGTAGGAGGATGAGGAGGCGGAGTAGAAGGAGGCGCTGCTGCTGATGATGATGATGATGATGATGATGATGATGATGATGATGATGATGATGATGATGGGGAGAAGGAGGAAGCGGAGGAGGAGGAAGAGGAGGAGGAGGAAACGGAGGAGGAGGAGGCGGAGGAGGAAGAGGAGGGGGATGAGGATGATGATGCTGCTGATGATGATGATGATGAAGAGGAGGAGGAGGAGGACGAGAAGGAGGAGGCGGAGGAGGAGGAAGAGAAGGAAGAGGAGGAGGAGGAGAAGCAGGAGAGGGGGAAAAGGGAATGGGGGAAGGGGACGGAGGGGGATGGGAAGGAGGAGGATGGGAGGAGGAAGATGAGGAGGAGGAGGACGAGTAGGAGGACCAATTTAAGCCCAAGACTCGTCAACGATGTTGGAAGAAACTCTCCATCCAAGCTCCCACTTTACAGGCCCTTACAAGTATTCATTTCCACTTAGAGAATTGCCCCGTGGGAGACAATTGTTTGAGTATCCGGAAGCATGCCAAAACACCGGTCTCGGGACCCCAACGCCACATATTGCTTGACTGTTGCTTCTTGACGATCCTGAATCTTAGCAGAACACCATTCACGGGACTTCAACACCGCGAATCAGCGTCGTAACTGTTGCGCCCTGACAGTCTTAAACCGCTGCAAAGCACAATGTCTGGCACGTTGGCCATGGGGACGAATGAAACTCGTTCAACTGTTGAAGACGCATGTGCGCGGCCCTGAAACGAGAACCACATGTTGAAAAAGAGCCGCCCTCACTCCGTGAAACCCTGGCAACTTTTTTTAGAACGAATGTGCGCGGCGCTAAGGCGAGAACCACCTTTTGAAAACCGCCCACCGTCAATCCGTGAAGCTCTGGCAACTTTTAAAACGAGCGTGCGCGGCACCACCCGCCCTCCATCCGCGAAGCTCTTGCCAACTTCTAAACTTAAGGATCATGCATGGTAAGCATATCTCGGGCGAAACGCCTGGCCCGCCCTTCCGACTGGCCTCGGGGTGCGACATGGATTAATGATTCAGAAGGAAACGGAACGGAGACGGAGGAACAAATGAGGAGGATGGGGAGGAGGAGGAGAGTGAGGAGGAGAAGGGGAATGAGGGGAATGATGATGCTGATGATGACGACGATGATGATGATGATGATGAGGAGGAGGAGGAGGAGGAGGAGGATGAGGAGGAGGAGCAGGAGGAGGAGGAAGAGGAGGAGGAGGAGGAGAAGGACGAGGAGAAGGAGGAGGAGGAGGATAATAAGGAATGTAGGTGGAGGAGGAGGACGAGGAGATGGAGGAAGTGTGGAAGCTGCGTGAGTGGTACGGCGAGTCAGGGGATAAATAGGAGGAAGAGGAGGATGAGGAACGGACGCAGGAGGGGGAAGGAGGAAGATCCGGATGGATGAATGGATGGATGGATGGATGGATGGTGGTGATGCTGATGCTGATGCTGCTGCTGATGATGATGCCGATGCTGACGCTGATGCTGCTGATGATGGTGATGATGATGAGGATGATGATCAACAGTTGGACCAACAATGCAAGTACTGGTCATGTTTATCACTCGCATCATATCATCACCCGCTCTCTGCCAGCGCTGGCGTGCCTGCTGGCCACCGTCGCCGAACTCGTACCGCCAGCAGTCCGGAGAAATGGTTGATAGTAATGATGATGATGCTGATGATAATGCGGATGCTGATGATGCTGATGATGCTGCTGCTGATGATGCTGCTGCTGATGATGCTGATGCTGATGCTGCTGATGATGCTGCTGATGATGCTGCTTCTGCTGCTTATGGTGGCGATGATGCTGTGAAGGATGATGATGGTGATGCGGAGGAGCGAGGAGGAGGGTGGGTGGATGGGTAAGGAGGGGAGGAGGGCCGAGCCCGCTCAATCCCCACCGTCGAAAATCGTCGGCAATCCCGCTAGGAGGAGTGACACCATACGTGCGAGGTGCTTGAATTTAGCGATGAAGTGCCGTGGGGGAGGGAACAAAGAGGACGAGAAGGATGAGGTGGACGGGGCGGGGGAGGGGGAGTGATGAAGTAAACGTCGATGAGGAAGATGAGGGGGATGAGAAGGGGAAGTCGGATGAAGAGGACTCGTCGGATTATGACGAGATGAGGATAAGGACGAGAAGGGGAAGGAGGAACAGGATAATGACGAGGAGGCAGGACGACGAGGGGAAGGATGAGGACTGGGATGAAGAGGAGAGAAACACGATAGGAAGAGGACGAGAGGGGGTGGAGGAGGAGGAAGACGACGAGGAGGAATGAGGGAGGAGGGGACGTGAGTGGAAAGGAGGAGGTGCGCTCTCCTCCTTCTCCTGTCCCATCGCGCTCCGGAGCAGCGCCGCCACGACCCCGTCCTCGAAGTCCGACGGGGACTTGCTGACTACGCCGTAGGCCTGGAGGCCCACCATGGCGAGGCTGTATCCGACGAGCTGCGTGGTCGTGATCTGTCCGCCCTTGTCGTCGTCGTCGTCGTCGTCGTCGTCATCGTCGTCGTCGTCGTCGTCGTCGTCGTCCCATCCTCCTCTTCCTCCTCACTCCTCCGCGTCCTCTTCCTCCTTCTCCTCCTCCTCCTCCTCCTTCTCATCTTTCTTCCCCTCCTCTGCCTCTCCCTACCCTCCTTCTCCTCCTCCTCCTCTATCCTACCTCTCTCATCTTTATTCCCCTTCTCCATTTTCCTCCACATTCTCCTCCTCCTCCTTCTCCCTCCTCCTCCCTCTCCTTCCCCTCATCCTCCGTCTCCGTCCTGGAAGAGGCAGCTTCCGACCACGATCAAGAGGTCCTTGAGGACGCCTGTCAAGGCAAAGTCGAGACCACTGGCACTCTGGATAGCGAGGTATATCACGACGTTCAGGAGGAAGGCCAAGAAAGCGTTGGCGCTGAATATCCCCACGCCGATCTCACTAATCTGCTGCGCATCGAAGGCGGACCTGTCGAAGAGCAGAGACGAAACAAACAGGACTGCGCAGACCATGGGGGCGAATACCATTACTGAGGAAAGCGCATTCAGCTTGTAACCCTGTGACTTCATGCGGGTTTCAAGCAAAGTAATTCTCAAGCCCTCGCAGATCAAGGCGACGACCTGCATCACGAAGCCGAACAAGTGGAAGTTCAACTCACCAAGACTCGTGACCACCAGACCAAGGGTGATGACGCAGAGGCACTTCACGATCGGTATCGACCACTGCTGCGTGCCGAGCAGACACCCACTGGCGTACACACTCGCAGGGGTGAACGCCTTGATCATCTGGCAGAATGCGACGCTCAGATCCGCTGCCGTGCACTGGGCACGCTGTGTCTGTGTGTCTGTGTGTGTTCCTCGCTCATGGGATCTGTGTCCTAGCTCGCTTGCCCTACCTGTCCGTGCCTGGCCTCCCCCTCTCGCGGTCAAGGCTCTTGTGCCGCTCCACCTCGCCCGCACCCTCACCGACGCTGCTCCGCTGGCTGCACGTGGACCGCTGCACGCCCGCACCGGCGGCGTCGACGCGCGGGCTCGACGGCCGCCTCAGGGCGCCAAGCCGGGCAGGCGCGTTCCCTGCGCCGCCGGGTGGGTCGTCCTCCCCTCCCCGAAGGACAAAGAGCGACATAAACGTAGCACCCCGCAGTTGCGGAGAAGAAGAGGGGAGCGGGCGAGGGTGGGTCGCGGGTGGGTCGCGGGTGGGCCGCGGGGTGGGTCGCAGGGTGGGTCGCGGTGGGGTCGCGGGCGAGGACGACGACGACGACGACAATAATAACAACAATCATTTTAAGACTGTTCGCTCTGACTGACACGCGTGTCTGCATTCCGTATACCCCAACCCTCGATACCCGCCCGCTTCGTCTTCGATTGCACTCCCTTTCGGGGGGAATCTCTTCCTTGCCGTCCACCTCCTTCGATCCTCCAAGGCGAAGCCCTCTCTGGAACACCCCATGTGCCCCGAGACGGCCCAGCAGCCCCCCGAGACGGCCCAAGACGGGCTCTCCCGGGCCGCCCAGACTGCCCATTCAGGATGGCTCAAGCGAGCGCTTCGGAGGAGCTGGGCAGAACCGTCACGCCAGGGCGCCACGCCAGCCTCCCAAGAGACCCCGCGCAAGGCGCACAGTGTCCCCCGCACAAGGCTCGCGCGAGCGCTCTGTCTACTCAAAATAATTACTCCGACAGCAGGACCCCGCATGAGAATCTATTTGGATTGCCCTTCGCTCTTTCCTCTTCGCCCTGGCCGAAGCCCCCCGTCTCGCCCTCTGTTGCGCCTCCTTCTCATCCTCCTTGTCTTCCTCGTCTTCCGTCTCCTCCTCCTGCTCGCCCTCCTTGTTTTATTTCTCCTCTTCCTATTCGTGCTTTTCCTCCTCCTCCTCCACCTCCTCCTCCTTCTACCCCCCTCATCTCCATCCCGCCTGTTCTCCTCATGCACGGCCTCAACTGGTCTTTGCTGCTCTCTGCGGGTCTCTGCTGCTGTCTGCTGGTCTCTGCTGCTGTCTTCTGCTCTCTGACGCTATTTGCTGATGGTCTATACAGTATATATATATATATATATATATATATATACACAATGCGGTGCATTGAAGTGCGGGCCCCATAGGGAGGAGGCTCCCGCCTGAGACTTCCTTGCAACTCACTCACAGACGCGTGAGGAACGCCTCGTGGTGTGCCCCTTTGGGGTGCTCAAGTGCTTTGCCTGGTAGAGTTTGCCCATGGCCCGCTCGGATTACCAACATAAAATGCGGGACCCATATGGAGGGGGCTCCCGCCTGAGACTTCCTCGCTATCCACTCACAGACGAAGCCCTCGTGTGAGACTTTCTCTGGATTCAATTTAACAGAGCACAAAAGTGACGTCAATTACAAGTTTCCGATGACCCGCTCGGACTGCCAACATGAAATGCTGACCCCATAGGGAGGGGGCTCTCGCCTGAGACTTCTGCGCAATTCACTCACAGACAAAACTCCCGCCTGAGGCTTCTTCCACATTCAATCCAGAGGAGCGGGAAACTGAGGACAATTACAAGCTTTCGATGACCCGCTCGGATTGCCAACATGAAGCGTGGCATGAAGTGCTGACCCCATAAAGGGGGGGGCTCTCGCCTGAGACTTCCTTCCGCCGGAGACTTCCTCCACGTTCAGCCTAGAGGAGCCGAGCAATGACGACAATTACAAGTTTCAGATGACCCGCTCGGAGTACCAACATGAAATGCGGACCCCATAAGCAGGGGGCTCTCGCCTGAGACATCCTCGCAATTCACTCACAGACGAAGCTCCCGCCTGAGACTTCCTCCATGTTCAGTCCAGAGGAGCCGAAAAATGACGACAATTATAGGCTTCCGACGACCCGCCCACATTGCCAATTTGAAGTGCGGACCCCACAGGGGGTGGGCTCCCGCCTGAGACTTCCTCGCAATTCACTCACAGACGAAGCTCCCGCCTGAGACTTCCTCCATGTTCAGTCCAGAGGAGCCGAAAAGTGACGACAATCACAAGTTTCTGATGACTCGCTCGGATTGCCTACATGAAGTGCGGACCTTCTAGAGAGGGGGCTCTCGCCTGAAACGTCCTCTCAATTCACTCGCAGACGAAGCTCCCGCCTGAGGCTTCTTCCATATTCAATCCAGAGGAATCGCAAAGTGACGACAATTACAAGTTTCCGATGACCCGCTCGAACTACCAACATGAAACGCGGATCCCATAGGGAGGGGGCTCTCGCCTGAGATTTCCTCGCACTTCATTCACAGATGAAGCCTCCGCCTGAGGCTTCTTCCACATTCAATCCAGAGGAGCCGAAAAGTGACGACAATTACAAGTTTCTATGACTCGCTCGAATTGCCAACATGAAATGCGGACCTCCTAGGGACGGGGCTCTCGCTTGAGACTTCCTCGCAACTCACTCACTAACGAGGCTCCTTCTTGGTCGATGATGACGATGGGGTGATGGTAGTGATGGGTGTGTGATGTTAGTGATGGTGATGGTGAGTGATGGTGAGTGGTGATTCGCTGATGATTATGGTAAAACAATGATGAGTATGACGATGCTGCGGATGGTGAGGATGATGACGACGAGGAAGATGCTGCTGCTGCTGATGATGATGATGATGATGATGATGCCTCCCGCCGCCGCTGCCGAGGCCAGAGGACGCCTTTTTACGGGGCGCCGCGCGCCCGAGCAAGCTTCAGAGAAGGTGCACCGGCACAGATGATTGGACAGCGGGCGGAGGCGAGCCAGACGACCAGCTGCACAACACTGAGTCGAGGGTACAACTAAACGCGCGAGGGAGGGAGGGCTGGGAGCGCAACAAAGAGACCTCAAATGGCAATGGAATGGCAAAGGAATGCTGCACGGATCCATGGCCATGAAATGCGGCCTCTCCTGCTGTGACGTCTGGCAATCTACAACGAAGTAGTGGGCATGCCTCCCGCCGCCGCTGCCGAGGCCAGAGGGCGCCTTTGTACGGGGCGCCGCGCGCCCGAGCAAGCTTCAGAGAAGGTGCACCGGCACAGATGATTGGACGGCGGGCGGAGGCGAGCCAGACGACCAGCTGCACAACACTGAGTCGAGGGTACAACTAAACGCAAACCTGCCAAACAATCCTTGGTCATCTCGATAAAACTGCTGAATTATTCACCGTTAAACAAAAAAACTGGTCAATGCAATCGTCTTAGAAATGCCATGAGCGTGATCGAAGCAACGAGCGAGGGCCTTGCACAAAGCAGGAGGATACTGCTGAGCGGCTTTCGTCTTAAAGCCGCCTCCCTGAGCGAGGCCATGAATTGATGTGTGCTTTTTTCCCGTGCGAGAGCAGAGCTTGCCATGACACTCGCGAGCAACAGACCGCAGAGATACTCGATCCCCTAAAATCTTGGTCGGCTTCTTCCACGGCGTCCCCCATTGGCACATGTCCGTATACACGAGCTGGCTAGTACTCCATGCGGCAGCTTTTTTGAGACGAGGCAGCAGCCAGAGACGCGAACGTGCAGGATTCTCCAGCGCCACTGGGCGCTGGAGCAAGTGCATCAACTCAAAAACAGAAACCGGCAATAATATTACCAATTCGAATGGCTTGCACATCGGCAGGATGGGTGACCTCAGGAAGCCCCATCAGATGCTGGTCAGATCGGAGCCGCGAAGGGAGAGTTGGTCCAGCTTGACCCAGCTCTCGCAGCGGCCCTGTGTCCCTGGCCCTCGTCCACGTCTGGCACGGCGTCCCCATGAAGACTCCCCAGACCTGTCCGGCCAGGATCCAGCCTCTCACGAGCTTCTGGGCCTTCCTTGCCGAAAGGTCCCAGGCAGGTCCACGGCAGATGTCCCACTCGAGCACGACGAAGCCCCTCTCGCGAAGCGCCCGCGAGAGCCCGCCATGCCCGCTGAACAGCTCTAGAAAGACCTGCGGCTGGACCAGGCGGGCACCCCGGCTGGCCAGGGCGCGAGCGAAGGCCTCGCGAGGCAAGTCGGCAGCTGCGTCGCCGCCTCGACCGCCCTCGCGCGGACGCCCGGGGACAGCCGCTGCAGCTGCTCGCCCACGCGCCACTCCTTCTGGTAGCGCCTCACGCTGGAGTCGCAGTGCCAGCGACCTCTCAGCTTGATCTCCTGCAGCGTCCGCAGCTGGCGCGCTCGATCGTGGCTGGGCCCGCTGTGTCGCAGCATATACAGCTCCGGGCCCAGAGCCTGGACCCCTGCGCGCCCCGCCGCCTCCCGAAACTGGACCACCAGGTCGGCGTGCCGGAATGCGAACAGCGGCTGCCCGGCCGGCGTCTCCCTCTTGAGGTAGGCGAGCACGGGCACGAGGAAGTGGAACAGCGGCAGATCGAACACCACGGTCTCGTCGAACTCCCTTGTCTTGCTGCTGATCTCCTCCTCGCTCGGGTGCAGCACGATCGCCCAGTTCGCCACGTGGGTCCCCGGCACAGGCGGCACGAGCATCTCGGCGGTAACCCGCTGCAGCTCGCTGGGGCGCAGGTAGCAGTGGAAGGTGATGATCGTCCAAGCCGCCATCGCCCAGAAGCCGGTCAGCAGCAGCTCCAGCGCGATCAGCGCGACGACCTCCCACGGCAGCGGCAGCCGCGCCCGCCTAGGGGCGAGCCGCTTCCAGCCCTTCAAGGCCTGCGCCGAGCGCGGAAGGGAGAGCCCTCCCGACTTTGCGAACTGCGGCCGGAAGTACTTCACCGCCGCTAGCCCCTTGGTGCCCCTCTGCGCCAGCTCCCCGAACGAGTACTCCTGGTCCATCCAGCTGGCGACCGCGAAGTCCGTCTCGTCGTCGCCCGGCTCCGCCTGCAGGGAGCCCGCCGGACGCAGCCGCAGCCACATGCGAAGGATGTCCTGCCACAGACCGTCGTACTGGGCCACGGTCTTCGGAGTCACCGACGCCCGCTGCAGCAGCGATCCAGGGCCTCGGAGCGCCGTCCGACGAGCAGCAGCAGTAGCTCCCTGCCCGCGCCTCGCAGCTCGCGCCATCTTGCGGCTCCGGGCCGCGGGTGGTGGCGTCGCCCGCTGCTCCTGGCGCGACTGGGCCGCGACTGCACTCAGGTGCCGCCCCCTCCGAGGCTGAGGCCGCTCGGCCAGCGGACCGCCTCGCCGCAGGGCGTGCGGGCCGGCGGGCGCCCCGCAGAGCGCCGACGGCAGGCTCGCGGACGGCCAGCTCGGCGAGCTCGAGGCCGGCGCTGCGGCAGTCGGCCTGCTGGCTGCTGCGCCCGGCGTCCCGGACGGCCCACTGCTCGAAGCCCTCGGCAGTGTCCGCCGCGGCGCTGTCGAGCCAAACCCCGAGGGGGATGTGGCGGCGCGACGGCGCATCGGCGACGTTCCGTTCAGACGGAATCCAGCGCACCGAGGCCTGCACCGCGCCCGCCAGGCACCAGGCGGCCCATTGCCGGGCGACGCGGAGGACGCCCCCAGCTGAGGAGCGGCCCTTCTCCATAGCACACACGAGCCCCATGTTATCGCAAAGGAAGAGGATACGCTTACCGAAAGACTTCGAGTCGCGAAGTGCGTGCCTAAGAGAATGAACGAGCGCCCGACCTTCGAGGACGATGATCTTCTCGGACCGGGCCCACCCTCCGCTCGACACGACCTGCCACCTCCCCCCGTACAGTTCCTCCTCCACCTCCGGGACCTTCCACAAGTTACCCTCTGGATCCTCCACCGCCACCTCCGGCGACGCGACGGGCCCCACCTCCGGCGACGCGACGAACTCGGCGATCGGCTCGACCTTCGCGGTGTCGGCGGTCGGCGGGTCGCTCTGCTCGAAGAGGCAGTCGCGAGGTCGCGAAGCAGTTGCTCGTCGAAATCGCCACCTCTCCCCGTGCCTCCCAGCACCACGAATTGCTCCCAGGCCGGCCTCCTTCTGGCACACGCCCCTCCCCTCCTCGCTAGCGTCGCTCGCGTAGACCCTGGGAGACCAGGTGGCCCGGAGATCAGCCCAGGCCAGGGGGATCAGGGAGGCGGCCCAACGAAGCTCACGGCGGACAGACGGCGGCAGCTTCATCACCCGATCGAAGTACTTCCTCGAGAAGGCATACACAGAACTAAATACGGCCAAGAGCGGGCGCCTCGACATAGCAATGAACGCGAAGTGACCAGCAATCTTCCCTACTTGTCGTCCCGAAGCGTGCCCACGAGCAAGCAAACCCTGGATCCCAAGACGAAGCCTCCAAGCACGACGACTCTTCGGCCTCACAGCTCCACGCTCTCCGTCGAAGACCCAACCCAGCTGCTCAGACACAGAGGCGGGAAGATCAGGATCGTGAAGAGGGAGCCCCGCGCTGCTCAAGGCCTCTTGGGCCGACCTCAGGAGGGCCGCAGGCCTGTCAGGATTCACACCAAAGGAAATGAACTTGTCAACATAGGCTGTGTAGGCCCCGTCCTGGATGGGAGGCGTCGGCATGCCATCGACCACTTCGGGAACGTTCTCAAACCCTCCCTTCTGGAGTAAGATATTTCTGTGCACTTTCTGGCAAAAGTCGAGCGCATGCGTCCAGCCCATAGGCAAAACGGCCAAGCACGGGCGCACCCAAGCACGGCCTGGAACTGGACGCCCGCCCAGCTCACGCACTCCGAGCTGCGCTGCCCGAAGCCGCGGGAGCGCGAAGAGGTGCCGGAGCTCCGGCGGCAGGCCCATGTTGTAGAAGGCGTCCGCTATGTCGACTCCCGCCGTCCACAGCACCTCGCCCGGCGCCAGCTCGATGGAGCTGAAGCTGCCCCCGGACGCCAAGCTGGTCTTGTCGGGCTCCGCGAACCTGAAGTTGCTGCCCCTGCAATCGATCACCAGGCGCTGGCGACCATCCTTCTTCCAAACGGTGAATAGACCGACTTCCTCAAAATTGCCCTCATCGACCCTGAACTCCAGCATGCCACCGTCCCTCATCCTCTCGACGAAGGCCAGGTAGGCCGCGGGCTGCCGCAGCACTGGATCCAGGTAAGGGCGTGCGAAGCCAGCCTTCTTCTTAAAAATCTCGGCGCTTTGAATTGGCAAAACCTTCGAAGTGATGAACCTTCGCACGATGTCTGGACCGTCGTCTCCCAACAACTGGCTCAGGGGCACAGGCGCACCGCCCACAGCTGGCAGAGACACGAGGTCGTGCGCGAAGGGGGCCACCGCGACGGGCTCGCCGTCGGAGTAGCCGGCGCCAACCTGGAGCTCCCGGAGGGCCACCTCGGTCGACAAGTCTGGGGGAATGGAGCCCATCGCCGCACAGCTATCGGCGAGATGCTCCAGGCAAAGCTGCTGCATCCTGTTGGGCTCCTGGCCAGCACGGCGCGGCGGGTCATCAGAGCCGGCATCCAGCTGGTTGAGCGCCACCACTAGCTCGGCCACGAGCTCACCCTGCAGCGTCCTGTTGGCGCGGCGACGCCGCGCTGCGCGACCGCCGCCGCCGCCGGCAGCAGCCGGCGCGCGACACCAGTCAGGGACTGGCAAGGGCAGGAGCGACCGCTGCATGTGGTCGTCGCCTCCGCCCACCACCTCTTCTGCATTGCCCCCGGGTCGAGGCAGTCCCGGGGGCGGGCCCAGCATCATGACTTCGGGGGAGGAGCGTCCCGGCCGCCCTTGTTGGCCTTCTGCTCCTCCCTCAGCTTCCTCGCGTTCTTCTTGATGCTGTGGATCCGCTCCAGCTCCTTCGACACCGAATCGAGCAGCTCGGGGCGCGCCATCGAGGGAGACCTCGAGCCTCCCATGAATGCGAAGGCCTCCTCCAAGGGCATCCGCATGTTGTGCTGCTGCTGCTCCGCGCTCCTGTCGTCCCAGTAGTGCTCGATGAGCTGGAGCTTCCTGTAGCCGAGCTCCGCGCTCGCCAAGTTGTAGACGTCCAGGTGGTCGGCCGAGCCCATGGCCTCGATCATCTTGGAGATCGTCTCGTGCATGTCCACCCCGAAGTCGGTTGGGTTCAGCCTGCGCTTTGACTTCCACATCTCATGATGGAGGACCGGGCCCCCCTCCTTCACCTGGTACTTGGCACACCACTGCGCCGTCCTCGGCGGAGCTACGCCAAACCCCGGGACGGCTTCCTCGCGGCAGAGCTGCACCACCTCGCGCCACTCCCGAGAGTTGCCGCCTGGCTGCCCGGCTCCTGGCGGGATCTCGAGCGTGCGCGCGTCGCTCCCGCGGTACTCCTGCGTGAACCACGGGATCTCGCTGTCCTGCAGCAGCACCGCGCTGGCTCCGGCGCCGCCGGCGAGCGTGAGAAGCCCGCGGCGCCCCGCGCGGCCCACGAGGGTCGCTCCGCCCGGCACCCCGACGGCCACCTTCGCGCCGAACGTCACGGCGCCGTCGACGTCCTCGGCGGCCACCCAGTGCCAGCCTGGCGCGGGCTCCCCGCTCGGCTGCGGCGCAACCGCCGCGGTGTCTGGCACCGCCGGCGCCCGACCCGCTGGAGCAGCGGCCGCCCCGGGGGCGGGGGCCACGGCGGCTGGGGCCGCGGCTGCCGGCGCTGGCGCGGCCGCGGCCGCCGGTGGGGCAGGCGGGGCCGCCCCAGGAAGCGCCAGCACGCCTGGGACCGCTGCCGCGGGGTAAGCTCCGGCCACGCCGCCCGGCGGGGGGCCCACGATCGCCGGGTCCGCCAGCGGTATGCTGCCCGCCGGCGCGCCTGCACAGTTCACCGCAGACAGCGTGAGGAGGAAGGGCCCAGCGGGCATCGGCCCGTACCCCAGCGCTGCCCCGCGGCGGAGGGCGCTCCAAATCTCGGCCGCCGTGGGCAGGCGGCGAAACCTGTAGACCCGGTTCTCCGGGATGCCTCCAGCCCTGCCGCCCTGCCCGTGCACGAAATGGATCTCCATCACGTCCGCGTCTGGGTTCGTGGTCTCGCCGTAATCGTCGAAGTCCGGGGTCATCACGTACCCTGAGCGAAATATGTCCAGTCGCTCATGATACAGAGCGGGGCCTCCCACTCGATACCTGGTCAGGTGGAAGCCTCCAGCCAACGGCCCAGCAGCCATCTTCAACAGGCGGCGGCACCCGGCGTCCTGCGGAAGGCCTTTGCCTGCTCCAGCGCGAGGTGCGCGAGGTCGTCGCCCACCGGCGCGCTGTCCGCCTCCACGGGCGCCGCGGCGGGCGCCGCAAGCGCCCTCGGGCGAGGCCGCAAGGCCCACGAGACGGCCGCGGCCCCGAGCACGGCGCCCAGGAGCAGCGAGAGGCCAGCCACCCAGGCCAGCTGGGACCCGGGGCACCCCGGGGTGGCGGCGGCCGCCAGGGTGCCCTCGCCGCTGGGGCACGTGCACTGCAGCGCTGGGCAGTGCAAGGCCGGACTGCACCAGCAGTCCGGGCAGTCGGCCACTGAGGCCCGGACGACGAAGGCGGTGGTCAGCGCCTGCCCCAAGTCGTGGAGCAGCCTCGCCAGCCCGGCCTCCATCCCCCGGCAAGGTCTCAGCGCAACAAAGAGACCTCAAATGGCAATGGAATGGCAAAGGAATGCTGCACGGATCCATGGCCATGAAATGCGGCCTCTCCTGCTGTGACGTCTGGCAATCTACAACGAAGTAGTGGGCATGAGGATGATGTGTGTATGGTGATGGTGGTCATGGTGATGCGTGTGCCAGCGAATGTGAATACTGATGACGATGGTGATAGTGACGCTGATGAGGTGGAAGAGAGGGGGGGAGGTTCCTGCGCGGAGGTAGTGCAGAGAAAACAAGACCCCCACGTAGGACGTGGGGAAAAACTCGACGATGCCCCCAAGACGCCCCCAACGGAAAACGCAACAACCATGCAACGCTACAGCCGCGACTCGCTGGAGCATCTGAGCGCCGCCCCCCCGGCTGCTACGAAATGGTCATGCCGAGGTTATACGGTCGGGGAATTTTGCTTAGCGTGTCGTGGCGGCGGCCCTGGCGGCACGCTACGCCCTGCGAGCTGATAGCATGTCGCTCCGCTCCACAGGGCGGGAGGTGGGGAAAAACTCGGGACGTGGACGCCTAGAGACCAGGAAGTGGATACCGTGTCGCGCCGAAGCGTGGTGAGCCAGAAGCGGCTGCGCCACATGCTAATCAATGGTTTCTGACCGTAACTTCTCCGCGTGGACCTCAATGCTTCGCTGCCACAACTGCGGGGCTTGCCACAGGCAGCGGGATACATGATGGCTGTGTTTCCACACACCAGGCAAATGCTCTGGCAAACCGCGACGGGCAAGCCCAGCGCAATGGCCGAGCGGAGCGTCAATGGAGGCAACTGCTTCTCTATGTCTCCAGTGTACACCAGAGCGGGAAACCCGGCGCGGACGCACATGATCAAGACGACGCTTACAAACTGGTGCCAGCATGTCAGCAGGATGGGATGCCTGAAGCTGTTCAGCAACTTGGCGTTGAATATGATGAGACCGGCGCTGAGGGCTATCCACACCGCAAGCACCAGCGCCACAGCGCTGGTGCCCAGCTTCATGGCGCGACCGACTTGCCCGGGCAGGCGGAGGGCCTGTGAGGACCAAGCAACGAGAAAATGTCTTGAGCCCACATGGCTACGGAATTGTACGTGACGAGGGGACCGACGGAAACGCCGGAGACTACGATGCTGACAATTTTCGCCATCAACCTCGACGGGGCCTCACGCTGTACGTGCCTGCATGGGGCCAGGTTTTGCTCCGTACGAAGTTTTTGGAAATCGACAATTGTGTGCCGCTTCTGGTCCTGGCCACGTCCGTTTTGGGTCCTGGGCTGGTGCGCAAGCATTCCTAGCCTGGCCCAGACTCTGGGAGGGATGGGGGGCCCTTCCGAGACCAAAACCTGCGAGGCGAGGAGGAGGACGAGAGGGAGGTGGCGGAGGATGAGGGGGAGGACACGAGTAAACAAAACAATACAGAAACGATGTTGCAATACACCCTCCCGTCCCAAGTCCCCTCCCCATGCGCCCCTACAAGGTCTTCCTGTTGACTTTCAGAAGGTCGCCCTCAAAAGACCAGCACATTTGGGCCTGCAATTTTGTCGAGGGCTCAATTTCGAAATGGAACTGCCTTGCATGTGTCTGGCGCGTTGTCACGAAGGCTGACAGGCAATGATCATTCCAACGAGGTTTCCAATGATTTTCCCCTTTCTAAGACGGACCGCCCCCCCATCTGTTTAACTGTTGCACCAATCTACCCTTGTGAGTGCGATCGTCGGAAGAATCTCAAGCAACAGTCACGAGCTCTCCAGCGATACCATGACTTTGAAAGATGGCAGTTCTCCCTCCTGCGAAACGCTGCGTTAAAATCAACAACTGCGCGGGCGCTGGAGCGAAAACCCCATTCTGAAAAGGAGCTGCCTTCCATCCACGATGAAGAAAAGTCATGTGCGCGGCTTTAACAGTAGAGCACCATTTTGAAAACGACGCTCCTACATCAGTGCGAACACAGCAAATGGTTGCAACGAGTGTGCGCGGCGCCAAAGCGAGGACCACATGTTAAAAACCACCAGCCCTCCATGCGTGAAGCCGTTGCGAACTTTTCAAACAAACGTGCGCGGCGCTGAAGCGACAACCACATTTTGAAAACGAGCCGCCGTCCATCCGTAAATTTGTTACAAACTTTTACGACGAACGTGTACGGCGCAAACGCGAAGGATTAATTTTGAAAAAGAACAGCCTGCCAGAAGCTGTTATAACTTTTACTACGCATGTGCGCGGCACTGAGGAGACAACGCACATTTTGAAAACAACCCCGCTCCATACGCGAAGCTGTTGCAAGCTTTAACGACAAATGCGCGCGGAGCTGAACTGGTAACCACATGTTGGACAGAAGTCGCCCTGCATACGTGAAACCTATTGCAAGCTTGTGCACGAACTTGCGTGGCGCCTAAGCTAGAACTGCATTTTGAAAACCACCCGTCTCCATCCGTGAAGCTGATGCGAACTTTTGGCACGAATGTGCGCGGCGCTAGAACGATGACTTCTTTCTGAAAACCATCACCCGTCCATCCGTGAAACGGATGCACACTTTTACAACGCATGTGCGCGGCGCTCAAGCGATAACCACAGTTCCCCCCCCATCCGAGGAGCTGTTGCAACATCTTAAGACGAACGTGCTTGGCGCTGAAAGGAATACTATATTTTAAAAGCCTCCCCACCATCCGAGAAGCTGCCGCACACATTTGAAACAAGTATGCGCGGCGCTCAGGCGAAAACCACATTTTGAAAGGAACCGCCCTCCATTCCGGAAGCTCTTCCAAAGTCGAAGCTTCAGGACTGCGGACGGTGAGGAAGCCTCCGGCGAAACGCCCAGCCCGTCCTACCGCTCCTTGCCCCAGTCTGGGCATTGCCCCTTCGCTTCGTCCCCAGGCTGGGCTTTTCATCCTGAGTCGTTACTCGGTGGCCCTGGGGCCCAGCAAAAGGGACCCCCAGGGACCGAAAATGGCAGAGCACCTCCCCGGGGCCAGCTTCATTTTTTTTAATATATATATATATAAATAATATATAATATATATATATATATTATATATATATATATATATATAAATATATATATAAAAAAAAAAAAAACGAGGCCTGGCTCTTCTGGCTGCTGCCTTGGTCTCCCAAGCGCGGCGAGAGCCCGCCACCCCCTCGCCCGGGGCCTGCCGACTGGCCCCCCCGGGCTTCGCGCGGCCACGCCCGGCGGCCACGGGTGCGCCGGCGCGGCCCGGGCCGGCACCGAGCAGGCGTGCCCATGTCCGCTGGGGAGCGAGCGACCCAGACCTCCTCGCGCCCCAGACCCCCGACGTAATGATTTTTTCATTACGTCGACCCCCAGAGGTCCCGACCCGTTCCCCATGACCGGCTTTGCATCCTGCGTCGTTTTTTGACGCTCCCGAGGCCCGGCGAGGGCCCCCGGAGGCCGAAAATAGCGAAAAACCTCCCGTCGTGATTTTTTCATTACTCGAGGGGGTCTCGCGCTGTGACAAAATCACGACGGGAAATTTTTCAATATCTTCGGCCCCTGGGGGCCCTTAACTGGGCCGTCAGAAAACGACTCAGGACAGAAAGCCAGTCCCCTGGGAGTGGGCCGAGACCCCTGGGGGTCGACGCAGCGAAAAAATCACAACGTCGGGGGTCTGGGGAGGAAGGCGCTTGCCGCCTTCCTCCCCGCTTGCGCAATGATGCTCGTCGGCGCCGCAGTCCCCCCGGCACCTGCTCGCGTGACGGGCACTTCCGAGGGCGGCCGATCCGATCCGATCCTCTCCGCCCCCCGCTCCCTCCCTGGCGTCGCAACTCCTTCGTGGCATGGGCGCCGCGCCAATTTGGCACGACGGGGGAGAAAGAGGAGGCGCTGGGGGGGAGGAACGGGAAACCACTGGCGGCGGGCAGAAGCCCCTACGGGGGTCGAATACTCCGTGCGGACCTACGTCGTACGTACTTAGCGTCCCACCAAGAGAGGTTAAGTTCAAATGGGGTCAGCCAAGACGGAGGCCGAACTCTCCGTGGGATTATATATATGTATTGTTTTATAAAAAGCCCTCCGTGGATATAAAAGAGCTCCCACGGGGAGTTGAGAGTTAAGAGCCCTACGGGCTTAACATCCCATCAGGAGAAGCTATGTCCAGACGGGATAAGCCCACACGGGGGCCGAGCACTGCGTGCGGACTTACTCCGTACGGACTCAGCGCCCCATCAGGGGAGGTTAAGTCCAGATGAAGTAAGCCAACGACGGAGGCCGAACACTCCGTGCGGACTTACTTCGTACGGACTTAGCGTCCCACCACGAGAAACTAAGTCCAGATGGAGTAGGCCAACGACGGAGGCCGATAACTTCGTGCGAACTGACTCCTTACGGACTCAGCATCATGTAAGGAGAGGCCATGAGGCTAAGCTCAGACGGAGTAAGCCCAAACGAGGCCAAGCACCTGGTGCGGACTTACTCCGTACGGACTTCGCATCCCGACTCAACGAGCAAATTCTTGAGCTCGAGCTCAGCTTGAGCTTACATGCTTGAGCAACCTCTGCGTTGAGAAATGTGTAGTGCTATCCCGCCAGAAGTCAGCGCCCTGGCAGTCCAGGGCTTCAGAGTCTGGTTGGTCGCTGGCCAGTGTAGATGCCACCATCTGGACCACCCATGTAAAAACTTCCCGCGTAAGCCTCTGGGCCAGTGTAGAATGCTGGCTGGCGCATGAGCTGGTCGCTGAAGCAAACCTCTGGGCATCTGATGAATGCAATTCGGACTTCCTGGGCGTGCAGCCGCTGCCAAAGTGGCCCAGGCCAATTCTCGTTCTTGCAATGCGATGGCGCTCGATCGTAGCCACTTGGGACAGACCACGCTTGCTGTTGTCCCGATCGCAACCAATTCTGACCGGTCCCTTCCTGTTGTGACATCGCTGGCGTCGTTGAGTCCATAGTATCGTAGCGGACGGGCTGTCGATATGGCTTCAGGACGAAGAAAACTCAACTCCCTGTAATGAACACTTTGGATTCGGAAAGCGGGTTGCGAACTGGTCGTGGTGCAGAGGCTTTGGGCGAACCTCTGGCAGATTAATGATCTACGGTTAGCTAAAACTGCATACACATATGGCGGTGAGTCAGCACTGGGGCTTCTCATAGTTATTTGGCCCGTGGCAAAATCTAAGGCGCACTCGAACATTCAGGTAAATGAAGGATGCTGCTGTTTTCCTGACTCCTGGAGCTAACTCTTAGAATTGTAGCTAAGTGTGCTAGTTATTGGATTGGTGGCACATTCGACATACACGTCCTTACTGTAGCGAATTGTTTGATCCTTCTCGGACCCATTATAATGTTTGCAACTGTGGCTCACCATGACACGTGTGACTCTTTATTGGTAAGTGCCGAGAGCGCAGTGCTGCTATCCTTTGGCCTCTAATTGCAAATCAGTGCTGCCACTCTGAAGCCTCTCCGAAGCTCAGCATAAGCCTCGCAGAAGCCCCACGCGAGCTCGCGGGAGGCCGCGCAGAGGCTGGCGCAGAGGCCGCGCGAAGAGAGCTTGCCCACTGCGTGCAGACGAGGTTGCAGTCTGTCTTCGACGGTCGGCGCTCGCTCCGTGCCCCCTGCTGCTGCCCCCAGCTCCGGGCGCCAGGGGAAGCGTGGCATGGACGAGAAAGCGTTCGGCGGCGAACGACGAGGGGGGAAGCGAGAGGGCGCGGGCCTTCTCGGAAGGCTCGGAAATCCCGCGGCCTCTCGAGAAGTTTGCGGAGTCTTCCCCCGAAGGCACCGAAGACCTCCCAGAGGGCGCGAGGGCTTCTGAGAAGCCACGGCGCCGTCTGAGAAGGCCTTCCTTCTCCTCCTCGCTTTCCCCGTCTGTGAGCGCATGGCAACCGCCCCCCGCCCCCCACATGAGGAACTTCAGACCAATCAGACCGCGCGCGCGGGCGCCCCCCTGCAGGGCACCTATAGTTTGATGCACACTCGCCATACTTGCAGCAGGTTGATACGTAAAATCCATCGTTGAGGGGGCTGGGGTCGGTTTCCCAATGTGCACCCTTCGCTCGCCGCCGAGCGGTACGGATCAGAAAACGTGGCCTCGGAGGCCAGAAATCCAGCCACATCTGCGCTCCGGCTCCTCCTGGGGTCGGGGCGACAGGGCGGGGGCGACGGAGCAGAGCGGAGGCCAGTCCACATGAAACCTTCCACAAGAAGCCCAACCCTGAGACCCCAGGGCGTCCATGGACTTCTGGTGTGGGAACGTCACGATTCCCATCGCAAGACCATCGGAACCCAAGAAACAAAGGGCACCCTGGAGACAAGCAAGGTGCTTCTTGGCATGGGTCTCCACTGTATGTCGGTCGCCCTTGTTTTTAATCCAGTGGGCGTGATCAGTGTCTGATCGTTCCTGAACATTCCGAAGTGGTCGTAATCTCGAACAAGTGGTAATGGGCAGGAGAGTCCAGAATCGAATCGACAAGTCGTATCGGCGATCGAAATGAATCGGATTGGCGGAGATCGGCTGGCTAGTATGCCTCCACTGATAAATCGGAGCCCAAATCGGAATCCCAAGTCGAATCGAATCGGAATCGGAAGCCAGCGAAATCGAATCGAACCGAATCGAAGGAATCGAAACGAGCCCTGAATGGGGGGTGACTTGCACGTGGGGTGAAGGAAATGGCCCTGACAGGGCGCTCTAGGGCCTGCTGGCTCCCAAAGGGGCCCTAAAGGTCCCCTTTAGGGCCTTTTCCTTGACCCCCCATTCTTTACGAAAAAGAGCAGGAAAGCAGACATCGCCCACGCCAAACCATTGCCCAACTCGTGCCGCAACTCATGCGGGGGAGTCGGCAGGCTTTCCTGGACCCCCCACGCATGCCACCCCTCCATTACCACCCGAGCGAATCGGGGCTGTTTCTTGTGCCCAAGGCCCCGGTACCATATCGTGTGCAGGCTCACGGCCAGCCTGGCCGCCCCACTCCCCCAATTTGTGGTCAGCGGGGAAGGGGATCGACGTCCCACGCAGTAAATCCATCCATTGAAGCGGTATGTCAGGTAGGACTCTCGTAAACGATCCGCTGAGAGAGCTGTAATTTCTGAAAGAGAACATCGCGCACGCGCGTCGTGTCAGCGTGGGAGATTTCTGGGTCCCAGAGCGGAGTCGCTCGGAACTCTGCGCACCACAGGCCATCCGAACGAACGGGCTGGCCTACTTGGGCCCGCGTGCCTGTCCTGCCCGTGAAGACGGAACAGCCCCTGTCTCACGTAATGCTGCTATTCTGTACGAGCGCTTCTTGTGCTGGATGTTTGGGTGCTCGGGGTCCCAGGCCCCCTGTGGCGGAAGGCTGGGGGCAAGGCTTGCCGGACGGTGTAGAGGATATAACTCAGCGTTGAAAGGTCCCGTCCAAGAGTGGGAATGCCTCGTGGCGTGATGAACTCCCCTGCGCGCCCCGACAGGAACGGCGCACCACGCTCGACATGGGCTGGTTTCAGTCCAATTATATGTCCGCCTGCTCTGATTAATCGGTGAGATCTGCAGTCTGGCTGTTACTCGTCCTGTGATCGCCCTGTTTCGGCAGCTCTCCTGCCAGTAATTTCCTGCCTGCACTCTACAGTCAACCCGTATAATAAGGACGCACGGTAAGGATGCGCAGGCCTTGAAGGCCATGTCGACACTATGCGAGCGGGGCGCGGCCAACGAAAGCGGCCAAGGATGGGCCGAACGGGAAGGATGCAATGGCAACCTTGGAAAACTGCTCATCCTCACGATGCGGGTTGGCCGTATCGGTCCCTCTTCCGTCCACCCGTTCCTCATCGCTCCCTGCCCCGTCCCCCTCGGCTGGGCTCCGCATATTTCCAACGCCCATCTCCGACCAGCCTGTCCGCGCGGCCCATCAGATCACGAATCAGAGAACAAGATCGGGAATCAGAGCGCGCCAGCGCTACCTACACGGTCCACTCTTGTGCCTACCCAGAGTCGTTGATAGCACAAGAGGGGCGTGGACAAGTTAGGGGAACTCGCGCGATGAGAGGCGCCGCGGAAGGCCGGCACAGCACGGCAAGCGAGCGGAGCATGGCGCCGAGCATCACTACGCAGCCTCATCGGGCACAGCACGGGACGGGGGGGGGGGCCACCCAACCATCATGGAGGGGATACATATGCAGTACCTCATCCTTATCCTTCTTATTATCATTTTCTCCCTCTCCTCCTCCTGCTCCTCCTCCTCCTCCCCATGTTCTTACCCTCCTCTCCCTCTCCCTCTCCCTCTCCCTCTCCCTCCTCCTCCTCCGCCTCCTCCTCCTCCTCCTGCTCCTGCTCCTCCTCCTCCTCCTCCTCCTCCTCCTCCCTACCATCGTGGATACATACATACCTATACTCAGCGGCGAGCCGAGGGCCTGCCGAGCCTTTTGCTGAGGCCCGCCCCCTCTCACCTGCCCCCTGTGCTCGCCGCCGATCTACAGCACCCGCCTGCGCTGCGACATCCTGCCATCAGAAATCTAGGGGCACATCCTTCGGCGACCTTGTGCCTCGCAGTGTGCCCCAGGGGTCTCTGGTCCCATCACAGGATAAAGATATTGTGGTCAGGTACCCGCTGGCCAACCAGCCCACCTGGTGTGCCTACTGTGCGATCGTCTCTGGAAACTAGGCTCTCCACAAAACTAAATCCGACTTTTACGTCCACCGACTTCCACTGATCTTCCGCAAACAAACCCGCAACCGTTTTATTTTCGCCGGCCTTCTGCCGGCTTCAGCCGAAGCCTAGATTCGCCAAAAGGCAACGTACTCTCTGGAACGCCTGGCATCTTTTCATCACTCCTGCTTTATCTTGATGTTCCACCGATACAGAAGGGGGCGTGTGGGCATCGGTGCGCTCTTCGTGGGGACGAGGGTGCAGGAAGCGAGGCGTCGGATACCAGAATCGCCGTGTCAAGAGGTGCTGGATGTGGAGACTGGGCGACCAAGAAACGCGGATGCCAATTGCTGGACTTTGGACCCGGGGCGGGATCAATCAACAACGAATCGGGAAATTGGATCGGATCGGAATTTGCACCGGATCGGGCTGCATCAAGATGACATCGACATCGCTTCGGATCGGCTGCGACGATATGCGCAACAACGTCATGCAAACATCGGGCCGCATCGGATCGCCAGGAAACCGACATCGAACCGGATTGAGCCATGTGAACTCGGCATCGAATGGGATTATCGAATCGAGCTGGGCCCTACTCGAGGTCAGATGCTCTCCGACTCCAGTACCGAACACGCACTGGCAATCCAGGTTCAGCACCCATCGGTCGGAAGAAGCAGCTAGAAGCATGAAGTAGGAGGGCGTTGAAAGCAGATTGGGCTCCGCCCGCCCCCGAGGGAGGACGGAAGAGGTTAAGCCACTCGATCATTGAAGCAGGAAGGCGCTTAAAATAGATTGGAATCTGGGAATCCAGAAATACCTACTTTCAACGACCGGCGTGTACAGATCCACGGCTCCCTGGCCAGGCCCATCCTTGATCTGAGCATGCCTGGGGGGCCAGGTCTGGAGGATCGGGGCGCAGGGCGCTGGGGAGGCGTGCCGCTGCCTTTTTCCATCTGCAGCGTCTGTCTGGGATCAACTGGCCAACGTGGACGACGCGGCGACACACCTCCGGAGTCGCACCGACGATTAGGACATGAAACTGTTAGTTTCCTGCGCGCAGCTCCATAGTGGAATCTGGACATCCAGGAACGCCTACTCTCAACAACCGGTGGGTCTGTCCCCTGCCGGCCTCTCCATGGGATCGCGCGAGATCCTGGGCTGGAGGCCTCCCCGCGTCGGGGCCGAGATCCTCCTCCTCCTCCTCCTCCTCCTCCTCCTCCCCCTCCTCTGGCTCCTCCTCCTCCTCCTCCTCCTCCTCCTCCTCCCTCCTCCTCCCTCTCCTCCTCCTCCTCCTCTCCTCCTCCTCCTCCTCCTCCCTCCGTCGGCTCCTCCTCCTCTCTCCTCCTCCTCCCTCCTCCTCCCTCCCTCCTCCTCCTCCTCCTCCTCTCCTCCCTCCTCCTCCCTCCTCCCTCCTCTCCCTCCTCCTCCTCCCTCCTCCCCTCCCTCCCTCCTCCTCCCCTCCTCCTCCTCCTCCTCCTCTCCTCCTCCTCCTCTCGTCCTCCTCCTCCTCCTCCCTCCTCCTCCATTCCTTCTCCTTATCGATAACTCCTCCCTGTCGCACCCCGAGGCCAGTTTTTAGGGCGGGCCGGGCGTTTCGCCTGAGACTTCCTCACCGTTCATGATTCTGAAGCTTCAGAAGTGACAGCAGTTTCACGGATGGAGGGTGGGTCGCTTTCAAAATGTGGCTCTCGCCTGAGCGCCGCACACATTCGTTTTCACATTTTGCAAGAGTTACACGGATTGAGGGCGGGTCGTTTTCAAAATGTGGCTCTCGCCTTAGCGCCGCGCGCATTCGTTCTTAGAATTTAAACACACGTTTCACGGATTGAGGGAGGGTCGTTTTCAAACTGTGGCTCTCGCCTTAGCGCCGCGCACATTCGTTTTCAAAAGTTACACACGCTTCAGGATCTTCAGACTGTTGTCTTCCAACGAGGCAGTTCCCTCAATGGAAATGAACCGTTGTAGGGGCCTGTGAAGAGGGAGCTTGGAGGGAGGGTACATTCCAACATCGTTGATGCCTCTTTGGTTTCCACTGGTCCCTCCTCCTCCTCCTCCTGCTCCTCCTCCCTCCTCCTCCTCTTCCTCCTCCGAGGGAGAGAACTCATCGTCGGCAGGGGCCAACAGTAGCTTACATCTTTGCACGCCGCTCGCCCCCGGCAGCGCTCGCCTGCAGCGGCGTTCGACCTCGGAGGATTCTGCTGTCGACGCATGCCGTCAGCACTTCCTGGGCAGAACAGGTCGAGCTGAGACACGGACCTGACCTCACACGGACATGTCTTTGAGCAGTCGGGGGCGAGTCGTTCGTGCAAAGATCTCTCGCCGTCTACCCAGCAGCGTGCCGCAGCTCGGAGCCACTGCAGCGTCAAATGATTCATAAAAGCATGATCGTCCGAGCGAAGGACGGAAGATTTAGATGAGATAATCTGAGGAGGAAACGATTACCACCAACATCGGGATGGTACATTTGCCGCTCCAACAAATTATAGTTCATTCCGAATGGCGCCACGAATGCCCCAAATTAAACAAAGGTAGGTGACAGCGCCCAGAGCCGGTTTCGGTTCGTTTTCGCCCCCTCCACCCTTCGATTGCACGATTTCGCAGAAACCCCTTCTCTTCCCTCCTCCTCTTCCTCCTTCCTCCTTCGTCCTCCTTCTTCCTCCGCCTCTCTTCGTCTCTCTCTCTCTCTCTCTCCCCTCCTCCTCCTCCTCCTCCTCCTCCTCCTCCTCTTCCTCTTCCTCTTCCTCTTCCTCTTCCTCTTCCTCCTCCTCCTCCTCCTCCTCTTCCTCTTCCTCTTCCTCCTCCTACTCCTACCCCCATTCAGCCGCGGCACGTACGCTGTCGCCACTAGGCGGAAGGGCCACCACTGCACAACCAGCACAAGCGATCTGGGTTCCCCCGTCGATGAAGACGCCATCGGCGTACAAGTCGGGAACAGCAAACGGCATGCCCTCCTCGTAGCTCTTGATCCACTGCGCATGTGCATGGAGGTCGTCGCCAAGCGGCGCCCACCCTGCGCGTGGCTCGGGTAGCCACAGTCGCTCGAACAGCGTCCTGATCGTGGTGGAGTCGCCCATGCCCTTGAAGCGCTCCAGCTCCATCGGCAGCGAGAGGTTGGGCCAAGCATCCTGGCACTCCATATGCCGATGCCACAGCGTGCCTAGCTTGTCTGGGCACAGCGAGCATACCGAGTACGAGCTGAGGCCTGCAGCACAGCGTCTCTCATCAAACCACTGACCGTCAACCAGGCATGATCTGGCGTACCCAGCCTCGCTAGGGGTCAAGGTCCTCCAGCTCCGCGCCACCTTGGTCGAACCCCTCCCGGACAAGATCCACCGTCGGACTTGCGGCAAGACGACTCCCCTAGCTTCGAAAATCCCGTAGTGCGTTGACTTTGCCAGCTGCGCCAGCTGCCAGTGCTCGACGGACTTGGTGACGATCTGCCTCACCGTCCACGGCGAGTGAACTGCCAGATTGAGCTCCTCGCCAGCCTCGGAGACCCAGTCAGTGAAGGCGGGCAGCGTGAAGCCGATCCTCTGCAGCGACTTGACCGCGGCTCCGATCGGTCCGCGCACGTCGGACCAGTTCTTGGCCACCTTCACGTTCCACTCGAAGGTTGACTTGAGCATCGACGTCGGGATCCACTGCTCCCAGGCTGCCCGAGCCAGCAGCATCACGGGCCCAAGCGTGGCGGCGAAAATGGGGTCCAGGTTCCTGGCCCCTGGGAGCATCAGCGCTGCAGTGGCGCTCTTGCCTGCTGGTCTGGCTTCCACGGCTCTGACAGTGATGGGCCTCATCTTGGACATCTCGCTCTCGTTGAGGCCTGTGCAGTTGACGCCGTAGAGGGCCGAAGGGTGTACGCCAGTGTAGGCCACCTTGGCAGCCGCGGTACGCCCTTTCCGTAGCCCCAGGAAGCTGCGCAGCTTCCCCCTGCGCAACTCGACATTGGCGAACCGCTGCTGCCGAATCGCCCTAGCTGCTCGTCGCCCTTCAGCATGATCGATGCCGAGGTTCCGCGCGTGGCGCGCGCCAAGCACCCCAGCAACCTTGAGCAGCCGCCTGGAGATATTGCAGCGGACCCCAGTCGAGTTACCTAGGACCCTGGACTTCTTAACGGCGATCTTGAGCTTCACCTGCTTCAAATGCTGCACGAGGTGCCGTGTGGCACCTACCAGGTGTCTTGGACTCTCTCAGTGCTGCCCCAGCGCTGCAGCACCAGGTCGTCGACCACGATCGCTGGCTCAACAGCCCCGAACTTTGCGACCATCTCGTCCACTGGGTGCAACAGCATGAGCTTCATGAAGCCCGTGGCGAACGCATCCCCTGCTAGCACCGCCTGGTATACCTGCAGCTCCTGCGAGCAGCATCCGTCTAAGTGCAGGACCCGCGGCGCACGATGCAGCGAGATCTACAACGTGGCCAGCCACAGCGGGAACCCGTACTTGGTGGCCGCTTGCACCAGGCTTTGATGAGAGACTTGCTCGAACGCCTTCCACAGGTCGAGCAGGATGCTGGCAGAGGCCCAGTCCTGGTCAGGGTGCAGCTCCGCCATCATCGCGACCCACTCTGACCTCGTCTGCTGCTGCCACACCGCTCTGTCGCAAGCGCGACCCGAACAAGCCCACCAATAAAGCCTGTCATTGTCTTTCTCACTTTTGCATGAGGGGCCTTCTGAGCCTTCCGTGCACACGTACCACCGCAGCTAGAAGGGCAATGGGACGAAGGCCCCCGTCAGCCTTGGGGATGAAGGCCATCTTCGTGATGAAAGAGCTGGGCCAGTCGGCCTTCGCCTCAATGGCCATGATGAGATCGATGAGCGCCTTGATGCCTTGGTCATCCATGAGATTGAACTCACAGGGCCGTAAGCTGTCGAAATTGGACCCAGACTGAGGCCTGCAAGACGCGATTACCTTCCTCAGCTCAGCAACTGAAGGTCTGTCAGGGCGCTCTCCGAGATCTTGTGGCCATGCGACGTGGTGCCCCGCAGGCTCCTGCTCACTCGGTGCCGCCACATCCCAGTAACCCGACCACTCGTCCACTAGCGTCTGCAGTCTTTGCTGGATGGTGGACGGCGGCTCGCCGTCTGGCTTGGCGGGCTTCGCATTCCAGCTCTGCGCCATCTTGGTGGCCGCGTGGATGCCGCCTGTGCCTGTGGCCACAGAGTGCAGCACCCACTCGTTGTAGTTCTGGGAGGCCTGGTCCATGTCAGTCTTGCCCATCTTCTCCGACCAGCTGAAGCATGCCGCACTGAGAACGTCCAGCTGTGGGAGGGAGTAGCTGCCGGCTCCTGTGGCTATCACGTGAATAGCGCGCTGCAGCTCGCTGAGCTCGGATGGGGGCCTGCTGACCAACTTGCGCAAGGCACGGAGCGCGCCCAGCCTTGTGAGCGGGCGCTCGATCTGCGCAGCGTCCCTGGGGCAGATGGCGATCGCCCTGCACCACGTCGACGCCCGCTTGGCCCTTGGCAGTCTCGGTGGCGACGGTGCCGTAGCCGAAGTGCTCACAAGCCAGGGTCGCTGCCCTCGGCCTGCGTACCTGTCGTGCTCATGGAGGAGCCCGCATGCGCCGATCATGTTGGTCTCCGCCTGGCCGATGAAGATGCACCACATGCAATCCACGTCGCCGGTGTTGGCGATCCTCTCCCGCGCCTCCTCCCAGGCAGGTGCGTGGTCCCGCGAGCAGCGCGCTAGCGGCTTGGCCAGCGGCAGCTGCTTCGCAGTGCGCATGACCGTGATGTCCTGGTGCCTGCTGGGCCCGGGCAGCTCGAGCGCGACAGGGTAGTGCGGGCTGAGGTCGGGCCCGTGCACGACGCTGGCCTTGGCCCCTCGGAAGCACCTGGAGACCGCGAAGTAGTCGATGATCCTGCCAGCTGGCCTGCGTGTGGCCTCAGAAGGAGCTGCCGCCACCGCCTGCGCAGCTTGCAGCCAGCCCGACTCTGCCAAGACCGACGGCTCCATGTTGAAGTCCCCTCCGACGACGAAGGGCCTGCTGGCAGCCTGGAGCGCCCTGAGCACCGCGTACAGCGTATCTGCGTTGCTCTTGTTGGGGCCGACATTGACCTCCAAATAGATATTGACCCACGCAATGCCTCCCCTGCAGACGCCGTTGAAGTGGGAAATAATGGCTCGCCCAGGTACGAGCACGGCTGGCCTGCCGAGCAGGTCGAAAGGCCCGAGCCCAAGATGCTGGGGCGCCATTTGCACGAGGCCTCCAGTACCCTGGGAGCCTGGCCCAGCATTGATCGCTGGTGCAGCCTCCGAGACCCATCCGGGCCTGCTGAGTTGACCTTGTGCATCATGTGTGCGCCGCGAATCCAGGTGCGTGTCCTGGGCGGCCACGAAATCGCAGTGCCTGACCGCGGAGGTGCCTAGCAGGTTGGCGAACCGAGGCCAGGCGTTACAGTTGACCGCGAGTCCGACCCACCACCTGCCTTGCTCGTCCGCCCGGCGGGGCAGGGTCGACGACCGACTGCCGCCGATCGCCGCGCTGCTAGCCTCCTGCGGTGCGTGACCGCTTGGCCGCTCGGAGGGTGCCGAGCGCTTCCTGGAGCCGCTTCCTCTCGTTGTCGTCCGTCGCGCTGCCGAGGAGCCCCCCAAGGTCGTCGGAGCCCATGAACTTGTCGAAAACGTCCCCTTCTGGCTGTGCCATAGGGGTGTCCTCTTGCTCGGCCTCGCCAGCCGCGCCAGCACCTGCTCCTCCAGCCTCGCTTGCGGCATGGCCGCCCCGCTGTTGTTCAGGCCCAGGAGGATGTCCAGTGGCTGCAGCCGAAGTGGCCATCTCGCCCAAGAGCTTGGCGAGGCTGTCCACAACGTCCGCTCCAGACTTGCCCTCGGTGTCGATGGTGGCGCCCTTCTCCTTGAGCGTGCGGATGGTTTCCTCCGCAGTGGTGGCCGAGTAGAGCTTGGCTGCCTGCTTCTTCGCCTCCTCGAGCTCCGCCTTGCGGTCCGCGAGGGCCTTCTCCGCGTCCGCGAGCGCCTCCAAGGCCTTGCGTGAGCTCTCCAAGAGCCGCTCTCGCTTGGCCGCAGCATCGGCGACGGCGAGGGAGGCCTGGTCGACTGCCAAGGGGAGCTTCCTCGCCTCAGCGCCCAAGACTCCAGCGGCTGCCTTTCGGCGTGCCAGCTCGACCTTGTCGCGACTGCTGCGGGAGAGAACATCCTTGACGAGTTCGTACGACTCCAGGGCCATGGCGGCGTAGGCGGCGATCTTGTCGGGGCCAAGGGTGACCGTGGTGCTGGCATTGGACCCTCCACCGTTAGGTCCGAGCCCTTTGCCTCCACGCCCCTTGCCGCCGCCTTTGGGACCTTTGTGCCAAGGGGCTCCCTCTCCTCCGCCTCCGACTGCCCACTTGCCGCGTGGCTTGGCTTCGGTGTCGTTCGTCGCAGGCACGTTGCGGTCGGAGTGCTTGCCCTTGCAGCCCGCCCTGATG